GAAGAAGAAAGAAGAAAAGAAGGGGACGATGGAATAAGATAGAAAAAGCAAGAAGAATCAGAATCGGAAAAGAGGTTGGAAACAAATTGACAAATTGATCCCGTAATTATGGCCGACACGCGATCGCAATTGCTCGGGACGAATTTCACCCGTCAACTTTTACCCGCTCGTTAGGGATCCCACCGACGACGATGCTTGAGCGGAGCGGAGTAATTTGTCGTCAGCGTGTACACACCATAGCCACGTGATATATACACGATCTCACCTCGTGCTACACCTCGATACACGCGTGGAAAGAGCCGCGAGAAGAAGCGCGCGCGAAAGAAAAGGAGGGGGGAGGTGCGGAGGGGAGAAGGAGAAATCGCCGTGAGGAAGACGAAGCGTCTGAAATAAGGCTCGAAACCTCAAACCTCCCGGAATCTCCGGCATCGTGCAACTATCACGTCTGCCAACCAACCCGTGCACCTTTCCACCTCACCCTTTCGCTCACCCCCCGCGTGTGCCACACAGTCGGCCACCCCTTTCTCCGCCGCGCCGTCGCCGCCGTCGTTTTCATCTCTCCTTTCACCCCGCCCCCTCGTCTCACCGTGTTCCTCCCCAACTTGCCCCCCCCCTCCCCGTCTCACCCTTCCCATTCGACCGACCGCCCGTCTAGCCGCCCTTCCAACCCCTGACGCTGTGCGCCGCGCCACCCCCGATCGCGTCCCGACGAAACTCCTCGCCACTCCAGACGACAGCGGCTCTGGTAACAGAGACTCCTCGAAACGTCGAACGAGCCCCGTTACGAGAGCCGTTTTCTCCTCGTGGATGCGATCGACTCGCTCTCCCGGCACCCTGACGAAGCGTGCAAGGTCGAGCCGAAAGACCACGGAGAACGAGATCGATCGGCTCGTCCCCGACGATCTTGATGGGTGGACGGGTGGACGGGTGATGGTGGTGGATGGATGATTGGAAAGGCACGTGGTAATTGACCTTTTTCTCCCCGGTCTGATTTGAAATCTATGTCGATTATTGTACATTTAGGGGACACGAAATAGAACATCGTCTTTTGAGATATTTTCTTTTTTTTTTGAGCGCAACTCGAGAGGGAGGTACTTGTGCTTCGTGAAGGGATGAATTTATTTTTGTGGTAGTTGCTCAAGAAAAGGGAAATTGTGTAATTTTCGAGAGAAAAAG